CATTTTTCTCTACCACTGTTCCACCGGTGACTGGGCATGACGTCATTTTTTCTCTACCACCGGTGGTCAGGACTCAAGGGGTTTAAGTTGCGAAACTCATATGTTGTCTGAGTAAATTTCAGTCCTGCATAAAATCGCTGTCTTGTGTTCTTCAGGTCTTTCAAATTCTTCAGTATTTTTTTTTTTTAATGATATAATTTTACCGATAGCTGATTTAATGTTACTATTCAGTCTCTATGTGCTTATTCGTCCACTGTCTATAGATCTTATTGTTAGTCTTCCATTGATATTGATGAAAAAAAACATACTTTTATTGTATTTGCAGCCTGTTTCCAAAGCTGTGCTGTCTAACGCCGATATTAGTTCATTCCTTGATTTGGGTTTCTTGCAGACAACATACACGGATATTAAAACTATCAACATCCCGAGCTAATAATACATGTTTCTCGCTTTTTTCTTCTTAGGGACTGTAGGACATTCCATTAAAACAGAAGGTTAATTTCATTATGACTCAGTTAAATATTTCAATTCATTCGTGTCATCATTAATCTGGTTTACAAGTTCGTTTTTAACGTTTTACTGTAAGCATTTAATGGGAACAGTACTTCCGGGATGAACTTGAAGTTTAAATCAGATCGAGCATATATTCGATATTCCAATCTATATAATTTCAATCTCAAATACACCAGAATATTTTTACTTACTGGAAATAATAAATTTCATCCTTTAGCCTTCAATTAAAGCTAAAATAAAATCTTTAAGAATGCTTTTTCATTTTTAAAAATTCAATTTAAACCTTAGGTATCGAAAAACTGACTGGAGGTACCTAATTTAACAGGAGTAGAACTTCCCGGATCAACTTGAACTTTAAATTAGATTAACTTTAAAATATTTTTTTTAATATGCCAAAAAAATATTTTTTGAATGATATTCACTTGAAAATATTTGAGTCTGTTTTTTCTTATGTTTCCGATAAATAAATACCAAACCTCTTCTGTCACTTAATCCATAGAAAAGCCATTTTCATAATATTTGGAATCTGTTTCCAAAGCTATTATCTTGGACTGTCTAACTCCGATATTAGTATCAAGTTCATTCTTTGATTTTGGTTTCTTGGAGACAACATACAGGAATATTAACGCTATCAACATCCCAAACTAATTCGTGTTTCTCGCCTTTTCTTTTTTTCCACAAATCTTCCAGCATTACATATGCCGATGGTAAAATATTTATATCCATTTGGAGACATTTACAAAGTTTTAAATAAGAAGTTGCCAACTTTTAACGATCGACAACCGGAGAAGTCATTAAGTTCTTCCGTCGTAAATCTCTATCAATAAAATGTTGAGTGATGATAGCCAGTGTATCGTTTGTGTTGCTAACGGTACGAAGTTTCAAATAAACGCGCGTTCACTTAATTAATAGATTTTAGCACTGCGTGGCTAAAATGACTTTACACTTCAAAGGCATTTTAACATTGAACTATTAAACTACTATATAATATCTAATCGCCAGTATCGCCGTGAATGCTCGACAATTTCCTCGTAGATGTAGAAGAGACTTGAAGTGACGCAGATGTGGCTCTACTAACGAATATTAAAAATACAGCAGTCGGAATATATTAGCAATTGACAAAAAAGTATTTGATATGTCGGCAATGTTTGTTTCTCTCTTTATTCTTAATAAAAGATAATATGTTTTTTTTTATTTCCATAGTTTATTAATATATAGAAATACAGTGAGTTCCCTCCTATTCGCGTTTCAGCATTTGCGGCTTCACACATTCGCGGATTTTTCTTTAGAACATATGTACTTGTTATTCGCGGAAACCCCGAATATTCGCGTCTTTTTTCTGAAGAATATATGTACAGATTATTCGCCGGAAACTCCCTCGATTCGCGTATTTTTTCGATATAACATATTTAAAAATATTCTTGCATTATTTTTCTGTTATTTAAGACTTAAAACATATAACAGTCCATTTTTATGGCAAAAATTGGCAGAACTACAATTTCTTATGGTATATGTGATAAAAGGGAGAAATTACTCCGTGTTATTATACGTCATATCAAAGAGAGAAGTTGAACACGTGTTGCCCGTCACAAGGTTCGTGTTGAAGAGATTGAATTTAACGTCTTTTAGCGAAGTGTCCGCATTGGCGACTTTTTGTTGCATGCTGGGAGCATTATTATTATTTTAAATTTTTATTTAATTTATTTTGTACAACGTTTAATGTGTTTGTTTTGTTTTATTTTACTTATAATTTTCATTATCATTATTTTATATTTTATTTTCATTTATTTATAATTAATTATAATAATACTCCCACGAGCTTCCCTGTGCCTTTTCTATAAATATTTTCATGATAATTGTTCTTATGAGCGTTCACCTTTGGTGCTTTGGCTTTCTGAATTTACAACTGAAATGGCGGGATAAGACCGTAAGTTCTACGCTAACAGTTTCTTCTCTCGCACTTCTCGCATGTGGAGGTCTCTTTCGCTTCCACGCTTTCCATGAACTTTGACCTACAAAAATTTAAATGCAAGTCAATCGTTATCTTCTGTCTTCTTAATTCTTCTTTTATTGTCTTCTTTCCTTAATAGTAATTTTTCTCATATTCTTTAACACTCAGTAACCTCTTGCACCCTAGTGGCTTTATTGCCTTTGATCTTCAAACATTTAAAGACAATGTCAATCGTTATCGTCTGTCTTCTTATTTCCCGCTCTTTAATAATGTTTTTCTTTTTATCATATTCTTTCAGAAAACATATTTGATTAAATACAAATGCACATTTTTATACATTTTTACTCAGCTTAAAAACCGTTTATTGGAAACATCAAGATTGTAAATGTACTCAGCAGAATAGATAATAAAACACAAAGTAGGCATGTGTTGATAACAATTGTTTACAAAAGGTGTTTGATCTGACAGCAATATTTGTTCTTTGGGAATCAGCATAATTGAATATCTTTAGTCTCAAAGACAGGAATTTCCCCAAAATTGATTTAAAAAAATAAAGGGAATACACAGGATCCGCCATGTTTTATAACATTAACATTACAATAAAGCTTCTTGTATAAATTATTTACTTGTTTGGGAGTTTGTTTTTTTTCTGCTTGAAAAATGGAGCAATAATTCCCATGCTGTGAGGTGGTTTTGTATTCCTCTATTTGTTGACACATATTTAAAATGAATTAAGTTTTTCTCACAAGATAAAGTTTGTTTATGTTTTGACAAGCAACCTTGATCTCACTATTATTAAATAATGACAAGATGCAGTTATAGTAACCAGTCATGTTCAATGCCACATGAAGCAAATAATCATCATATTAATAAAAAATAAATCAATCTCATTTAATAGATACTCAAATGTTTTTACAGGTAATAATAACTATTTTAAAAGGAAAGATTGTTTAGATAATTAGAAGAATTACATACCTGTCAACTATTTCTAGTCATAGTTTTTTGTTTTACGAAACTAGTGAAGAGAGGATTTTACACAATTTTTTTTTTTGCCAGCCATTACACCAACTTGAAGTGTCCTCCACTCCCATTTCACAATGAACAGAATGTGTCAAATTACCATTTCTTTTTTCTTTCAGCTTTCATAAATTATCATCTTATAAAAATGATTTTCATAGTCAATGTATAAGTTTGGGTATTTAATCCATTAATACCCACCATAAAATCCCCCATTAATTATAAAGTTAAAGTTTGTTTATATTTTGATTTTTCTGCTATTTTTTATAATTTTTTTTCTCTTCATTCATAATGAAAACTAATATTTTTTTTATTTTCATAGTTTATTATTCATATATATAATGAGAGAATTTTTTATCAAAAATTAAAAGGCTAAAAAGAGATGGACATACATGTTTTCAGAATTTTTTACACTACTAAAAAGACCTCTTATTGGAAACAGCAAGATTGTAAATACACTCAGCACAATAGATAATAAAATACAAAGTAGACAGGTGTTGATATGTTGATTTATTCTTTGTGAATCTTGGTTTTGCTCACAAGTTAAAGTTTGTTTATATTTTGATTTTCCTGCTATTTTTCATAAAGTTTTTTTTCTCTTCATTCATAATGAAAGCTAATATTTTTTATTTTCATAGTTTATTATTCATATATATAATAAGAGAATTTTTTAACAAAAATTAAAAGGCAAAATATTGTGGTCGTACATGTTTTCAGGATGTTTTGCTCAGCTTAAAAAAATCTAATTTGAAGCAGTAAGACTGCAAATACAATCAGTTAGTGCAATAGATAATAAAATACAAAGTAGGCAGGTGTTGCTAGGTTGGCAAGATTTATTCTTTGGGAATCTTGGTTTTGCTCACTATTTAAAGTTTGGTTACATTTTCATTTTCCTACTATTTTTATAAAGTTTTTTTATCTTCATTCATAATGAAAGCCAATATATTTTTTTTATTTTCATAGTTTATTATTCATATATAAAAATCTGACATATATATGTATAATAAAGTCACATGAAACAGAAAAGTCTGATATATAGAATTTATATCATATTCACCCAAACAACAAAATGTGTGGTGATCTTTTTTTAATTTCCATTTTTTAGATCTAAGTTCAAACTGTGGTTCTGAAACACGATAAGTTTGATTGACACAACTGTATTTTCTTTTGTATAATACGATAAATTTTGAATGAAAATTAAACGCAAAAATGGCGGTCGTATTTTCATTTTGTCATTCAATTACCCATCTTTAGTCTGATATATACAATTTATATCATATTCACCCAAACAACAAAATGTGCGGTGTTCTTTTTTTTTACCATTTTGTAGATCTAAGTTCAAACTGTGCTTCTGAGGCACTATAAAGTTGATTGACATGACTGTATTTTCTTTTACAATAAATACAAATAAATTTTAAATGAGAATTACAGGCAAAAAAAGGAGGTCATATTACACACAATTATACATTTTCAGAAATTTTTACTTAGCAGTAATGTAAGAAAAAAGATAAATAGTGCTTTAAAGACAAAACCAATTAGGAGTAGAAAGACTGTATAGCACCAGCCTTCCAAATATGAAAGAATATGATAAAAGAAAGCATCTGATAACATTATATGTGACTATAATAAACAAAAGACGGTGTAATCAGTAAAATATAAAACATTAGCCAATTATTTGACAAAATAGTCAATGACTGTGTTTTCTTGTGCATAAGACGAGAATTTGAATGAAAATTAAGGGCAAAAGTGTGGGAATCATATTGGAGATAAGTACAGGTTTTTCAGAAATTTTTACTCAGCTAAAAAATCTCTTATTTGAAACAAGATTGTAACAAGACTCAGTGAACAACAATAGATAATAAAACACAAAATAGGCAGGTGACGACACCAATTTTTACAAAAAGTATTTAATATGATTGATATATATATATATATATATATATATATATATAGAGAGAGAGAGAGAGAGAGAGAGATATGAATGTTGTGAAGGATAGATAGATAGATAGATAGATAGATAGATAGATAGATATTAGGTTGGTGAAGAAAAACATCTATCTATTAGGTTGGTGCAAAAATAATGACGTAATAATGTCGTTTTGTGACGTATTTTTAACGTCAAAAAACGACATTATTACGTCATTATTTTTGCACCAACCTAATAGATAGATAGACAGACAGACAGACAGATAGATAGATAGGTAGAAAGAAACTGAGATAGATAGATAGATAGATAGATAGATAGATAGATAGATAGATAGATAGATAGATAGATAGATGTTTTTCTCTTCATTCTTAATGAAAGACAATATCTTTATTTTCATTGTTTATTATAATATACATGTATAATATCAAACAAAAGAAAAGTATGATAGATTAATTCGTAATAACAATTTATTTATTCTACCGGTGACTGTATGAATGGCTGGAAAACCTTTGAATTTATATGCCACTTCTTAAGTAGCTCCCGAATATTGGTCTATGATCAAAATAGTGCCAAAACCCCAAAATAATATCTCTAAATCACTAATAATTGTTTTTTTTTCTCTCCTGCAGACGGTTGCTGAGAGAGATGGCAGTGTCATGGTTTGTGGTTAGCTATGAGGCCCTATCAGCTCTCCGCTCATCGGCAGTTGCAGCGCTATCGCCCTCAACTGTGCTGTCGCCACCTCTATCATCACCATCCTCTTTGATGCCAGTCTTACACTCTGGCTTTCTCCTATCCAGGATTACGAAAAACACTGAACGCTGCAAAAATGTCGACGGCCCTTTGATGCTTTTTACTGTCCTGTGATATCCCATGTCAAAAGAACTCAGGAATAATAATAATAATAATAATAATAATAATAATAATTTGAAAAAGCAAACCTAAAAAAAAAAGCAATTCAAGATATCATTCTTCCTGTCTTGAGTGGAATTCATACGTAACATTTTAAAGAAAAAAGTTCTAAGAAAAGATAACGAGTAAGAAAGAAAGAAAGAAAGAAAGAAAGAAAGAAAGAAAGAAAGAAAGAAAGAAAGAAAGAAAGAAAGAGGAAGAGGTGGGGATTAATATAAAAAAAAGAAAGAAACAAACAAACAAAACAAAGAGGAAAAAGAAAGAAAGAAAGAGAGAGAAGGCTAAAGTAAAAGAGGAGGAAAACGAAGATAAAGAGAGGGAACGAAAGAAGAAAAATGTTTTAAATTAAAAAAAAAAATAAAGAAAGAGCCCCAAAGGAGTAAAAAGAAGAAAGAAAGAAAGAAAGAAAGAAAGAAAGAAAGAAAGAAAGAAAGAAAGAAAGAAAGAAAGGGCTAAAGTAAAAGACGAAGAAAAAAAAGAAGATAAAGAGGGAGAAAGAAACAAAGAAAAAAAAAGGTCTTAAATAAACAAGAAAAAAAAGAAAAAAATACAGGGGAAAAAGAAAAAAAGAAAAAAAAGAGCCCAAAAAATAAAAAGCATAAAGAAAGAAAGAAAAAAAGAAAGAAAGAAAGAAAAGGCTAAAGTAAAAGAGGAAGAAAAACGAAGAGGAAGAAAATAAAAAGAATTTTTTTTTAAATAAACAAAGAAAAAAAAATAGATGGGAAAAGGAAAAGGAAAAGAAATAACCCCTTAAAAAAGTAAAAATCGTAAAGAAAGAAATAAAGAGAAAAAAAGAAAGAAAGAAAAAAGAATAAAGATAAAATAAAAACGGAAAAAAAAGGGAAAATAAAGAAGTGTTATAAAACTATATCTTCGCTTATCGTTCGGGCGAATGATAAGCATTTTTTTTTTCTTTTGAATCTCCTTGGCGCTTCCGAGGCAGTACAAATGTCACTGCGAAAAAGGACAAAAAATATATACAAATAAAAAGTAAAAAATAAAATAAAATTGAAGAGAAGAAAAAGTTGATTTAAAAAAAAAAAAAAAAAAAAATTCAGAGGAAGAGCAAAAGCGGGGGAAAAAAAGACCTAAGCGGAGAAGAATAGTGTAAAAAGTCCCAAAAAAAAAAAAAAATATGCAAAAATATTCATCTACATATACTTACATCCAGACATGTATGCATAAAATATATACACACACAAGCACAAATACGAATATTAATTTAAAAAGCCAATAATAACAATAATAATGATGATATATCAATATACACACATATATATACATATAAAAAATAAACATATATGTATGTATATATAAATATAGGTATAGATACGCATAAATATATAACAGCATAAAAAGCATTTTTTATTGCCTTTTCTCATCTGCTATCCGGAAATCATTTTTTTCTTTTTTATTTTCTGAGCCAATTAAAAGATAATAATAATAATAATAATAATAATAATAATAATAATAATAATAATGAAAAATAAAAGAATTAGGCAACAAGAAGCAAGTAAAAAAAAAAATAATTAAATAATATATATATACACGAATTCTTGCATATATACGTACATATTCTAGCATTCATATTCTTCCGATACTCTTGCATCCATCTTGACATACCTGTTATATATGTATACATATATATGTATATACTTTACTTATATATTTATCTTCCTGATCCTTGGAGTGAAAGAGAAAAGAAAGAAAAGGATTTTTAGATGTTATGCATTAATGTGTACGACTCCATCCTCGGCTCGTAGTTTTTCCCGCCAACTTTAGTCTCCATAACCACTTTCTTGGTCATCCCGTGTCTCTTTTGTCTGGCTGTCCATCCATCCATCTATATAAGTCTATTCATATCTATCTATCTATCTATCTATCTATCTATCTATCTATCTGTCAAAATCTATTCATATCTAAGCCTATTCATATCTAAGCCTATTCATATCTATCACTCTTTCTAAGGCAATTCATATCTATCTATCTATCTATCTATCTATCTATCTATCTATCTATCTATCTATCTACCAAATCTTTTCATATCTATCTATCTATCTATCTATCAAAATCTTTTCATATCTAAGCCTATTCATATCTATCAATCACTCTTTCTAAGGCTATTCATATCTATCTATCTATCAATTCATCTATTTCATATCTATCTATCTAAGCCTTTCATTCTATCTATCAATCTATCTATCTTCAAAATCTATTCATATCTAAGCCTATTCATATCTATCTATTCATATCTATCTATCACTCTTCTATCTATCATATCTATTCATCTATCTATCTATCTATCTATCTATCTATCTATCTACCAAATCTTTTCATATCTATCTATCTATCTATCTATCTATCTATCTATCTATCTATCTATCTACCAAATCTATCTATCTATCAAAATCTATTCATATCTAAGCCTATTCATATCTCTCTATCCCTCTATCTAAGGCTATTCACATCTATCTATCTATATCTATCTATCTATCTATCTATCTATCTATCTATCTATCTATCTATCTATCTATCTCGCCTTCCAGTTGCTAAAGCTTATTTCTTCAGTGCTCACACATCGCGTAAACATACAAAGCCACGACCCATCAAATCTCTTATTCTTCATCATCTCACACATTATCTTGTGATTCCCTCCTGTTGCTGTGTTCCTCTATAACTTTATATAAATTTGCTGATTTTCCACTCTGACTTCCCTTCCAATCTCCAAAAACAGACCCCATTAAATCAAACCCAGACTGGAATATTAAATATCAGTAATTTGGAGATGCAAACTTAAAAAAAAAAAAAAGTAATTTTCAAGCATCTTCAAGACCCGTTCAAAAGATTTTTGCTTTCTCAAATCGAATTCCATCAATGGAAGCGACTAGCTAAACAGATTGCTGTTAAATACCAAAACTGATTCTTATGACTTCAGCTGCTTTGACAGTAACATCGCTTACTAACTAAATACTTTTTTCCAAAAAAAATTAAGAAGATAATGAAGTAGATAATATATATACATATATATATATATATATATAAACCTATCGATTTCGCTGTGATTACAACTTCCTTTTTCTCAAATTCTCTTCTAGAGATATATCGATCTTCTCAAAATCTATCCGGATCTATTCACCCTTCCCCCATCCCTTTCTCTCTTTCCTCCCTTTCTCTAGCTATACCCGTCTGTTCTTCTGTATCTATCTATCTATCTATCTATCTATCTATCTATCTATCTCTTTCCCTATTCTATTTATGGTCACTGAATGAAGTTGAGAGAGCAACCATGAACCAAGGGAACTACGACATAACATGGAATGACAGTTTAATTGACGTCAACTTTACCTACAACTTTAACATTACCGACGTAAACAATCTAGGATATGAGTTAAAATTAATCAATTTTTACTTGACGGGCGTAGCCGGCATGACAGTCTGTTGTCTCGGGATCATCGGAAATATTCTGTCTTTTATTGTCCTCACACGTAAAACTATGAAGTCCTCTACGTATACATATCTATCAGGCCTCGCCATCTGCGACCTGCTTGTCCTTTTCACCACAATGCTTCTCATTCTCAAAGACACAAAATTCCCCGAGCTCGGATCTCTCTCCTGGACCGATGACTATTACCTCGAGATGTTCCTAATTGTCCACCCAGCCGCTATAACCTTCCAAGTAACCTCAATCTGGCTGACGATGGCCTTTACAGTTGACCGTTACATTATGATATGCCACCCGTTTAAGGCGGAACGAATGTGCGATATACCCCGTGCCCGACGGGTGGTACTAGCCCTTTATTTAGCCGGTATTGCGTTTAATATACCGCGCTATTTGGAATACAAAGTCGTGGAGATAGTCTTACCGAATAACATGACCCGATTGGTGAACACGCTGACACAATACGGCCAGAACCAGTATTTTCGTGAGATTGTCCACTCCTGGCTGTATTCGATTTTTGTTTGTATGATACCGTTTTTTACGATGGCCGTCTTAAATGCTTTCCTCATCCATGCTGTGCACCAGTCCCGGCGAAAAGGCAAGTCAATAAACGCTAAAGAGAAGCGGCGTAACGACACGACCATCATGCTAATTGGAGTCATCGTCGTCTTCTTCATTTGTCAAATGCCGGCATTAATATCCCGGATGATATGGGCTTCAAGCCCAAATTATCTCTCTAACTGGTGTTACCACCTTCTCAACGAGATCAGCAATTTCTTAGTGATACTTAATTCAGCCACCAACATTGTCCCGTATTATTTCTTCGGACAGCGTTTTCGCAATGAGTTCTGGCGGAGTTTCTGCTTCTGCTTCATGGGCAAAGAGAACGTGAGACGGCTCGCCCGTAGCATGAGCCTGTCGTTCGACAGACGATTCAGCAACGCCAGTACGGTCGTGCGCGGGATTGAACTCAACGGATTATCATCTAACGAGGTCCCCCAGATCCAAGAAGACGTAGTCGGCGGCAGAGGCAACGGAGGGCCCGGCGGAGCGGCGGGGGGCGTGAGCGGGGGAGGAAGTGGCGCTGATGGGGACGGCGGCGACGGCGGTGCAACGGGGCCGTCGCCGATGCTGCCGCTCCCACCGCCGTCTCCTCCCCCACCCACAAGAGATGGCGCCAACGGGACGGCCCTTGTGCTGGATCAGCACAAGGCACGAACAGTTTTGCTGAGCAACTACCACGCCGACACTAACTTATGGACCAGTCTAAAGCAGAGGCTCATCCCGTCGAACAAGCAATCAGCCACGGACATGGGGGTGGGAGCCGGCAGTGGAGGCACGGCTACCGATCGGTTGAACCGGAGTCGGAAACCTGCCTATACCTTCAAGAATAAAAGTCTATCGTCTCTGTGTCTGAAACCACAGAAACAGGAGGAACGATCATGAACAGGAAAATACAGTAAAAAGAAAAAGAAAATGACTGAAAAAATTTTGAGAAATAATAATAATAATAAAAAAAATTACGATCATGAAATAATTGATTAAATTCACCGGATTTAATTAATTAAGTTAATTAATTAATTTAATTAATCATTTCAAAACAAAAACTTGTTAAATGTGTCCGATAATGCATATTATTATTTTAACATTTATATTATTTTTTCTGGGTATAACTTTTTTATTTAGTAATATATATATATATATATATATATATATATATATATATATATATATATATATATAATGTATATTTTATATATGTATACATACATACAATTTTTTCTTCATTTTTGAAAAGAAAAATGTTTAATTTCATTTCACAGTTTTCAAAATTTGAAAGCAAAACATATTTTCTTTTCTTTAGAGAAAAATATTAAATTGATTACCGTTTTTCCTTCTATATAATGCGCACGTTGTTTTTGTTAATCTACTAATAGTTTACCAAATTCCAGAGCCACTCAAGGTAGAGTGTTACTGAGTGAGATTGTTCTAAGAGAGGGTGAAGAAGGAATTAAGAAATGCATATTATGAAGACGTGTAGGATATATATATATATATATATATATATATATATATATATATATATATATCGGTTTGACCCTGGGGGACTTCAATGTGGTGTAATTCTTCGCAAGCTTGTCTCGCTAGATGGACCTAGAGTTTGAGCAACGATGAGATTTTAGAGAGGATGCAAACAAAGAGAATGCTTATACTTAACATAAGGAAGAGGCAGATGAAGTTTCTGAGACACGTAATGAGAAAGGAGGGCTTGGAGAATCTGATACTCACAGGTCGAATAGAGGTAAAGAGACACAAGGGAAGGCAACGCATGACATATCTGGCGGGCTTAAGCAAGTGGATGGCAGAACGTGATTTGGGGGAGGTGGCAAAGGGACAAAGGTTATTGGGAGCTACAAGGGATAGGAAGAAGTGGAGAGCCATGATCGTCTACATTCTAAAAGGACACGGCATATAAAAAGAAAATGAGTTCGATCCTCATTGGGCTACCCCTTACTTTCGACCTTGTGCCAGAACTAAGTTACGTTTAGTAAATCACTATATCGGTTGAGCCTGGAGTTGAAGAGACGAAGATTGTAGGGATCCAGAAAGCATCCTCTTGGGAGTCTGTTAAATGTTCAGAGCAAGAAGCTCTCCGCGTGGATGTTGCTCTTAGTCAAAGGAACACCAAGGATATGGCGATAGTTTGCGACCGTAGACACGGAAGGGCGGTTCCTAGCGGTGAAGTTTTCAGTTGGGGAACAAAGGTATGTAACTCCTCCGAACACCTGCCGTAGCGATAGCTTTTTTAAAATAAAGCTACTCGGAAAAATGCCCACGCGTCCTAGACGAAATCGAGGCTAATGTAAGTAGATGTTTACCTACGGACAGGGTGTTTCAGAATTTTTGAAACAAAATGATCGGGTACGAATCAAGCACCACAAATGATACACGTATTTGAACAGATACCTCCTCTTATTTTCCATACAGTGAAATTAATGTCTACCGGTACAGACAGCGAGAGTCTTACTAAACAAAATGTACCTCCCGAAATATTCTTTATGAATAATTTCGTTTTTTTATTTTAGCAACACACACACACACACACACACACATATATATATATATTAGGTTGGTGCAAAAATAATGACGTAATAATGTTATTTTCTGACGTATTTTTAACGTCAAAAACGACATTATTACGTCATTATTTTGCACAACAATATATATATATATATATATATATATATATATATATAGAGTGAACATAGAAGTCAACACTTAGAGGCGACAGTCTGTTTCATGCTATATGCAATCATCCAGCCACTAGGCCTCTAAGTGTTGACTTCTATGTTCACTTTTATATTTACACATGCTCTATCTCTGATACTGAGCCCTTTATCCCATAAATATAAGACTTAAGACTATATTTCATATATATATATATATATATATATATATATATATATATATATATATATATATATATATATATATATATATATATATTAATTCAAGCATGTTTGGTTAAAGAATTTTGCCGTATTATGACTATTTCAGATTTAAGCTTTTCAAATCCATGAATTAATTCACACACACACACACACACACACACACACACACACACACACACACACACACACACACACACACACATATATATATATATATATATATATATATATATATATATATATATATATTTATAATTCATGCATGTTTGGTTAAAGAATTTATGACCATTTCAGATTTAAGCTTTTCAAATTCACGAATTAATTTCTTCGTGGCTGTTGAAAATTGATTAAGAAAAATTTCAAAATTTTCTTTTAAATAGTTTTTATTTTCCCAAGTACTTTCAATCTCATCTGAAACCATCTTCAGGATTTGCATATTTATGGATGTGTTCTGTTGTGTTGGGAAAATAAAATGGATGAGTTATGTTATGTGTTAGGAAAATAAAAATTATTTTCTTAATCAATTTCCTACAGTCACAAAGAAGTTAATTAGTGGACTTGAAAGAATTAAAACTAAAACAAATAGACATAATACATTTAACTTGTTTAACCAAACACGCTTGAATATATATATATATATATATATATATATATATATATATATATATATATATTAGAAAGAAAGAGAAAGACATGTAGGAAGTACAATTACTGCTTTATTTCCCTATTCACAACACTGTTTCACGCTTAGCGATTTTGCAAAATGGGTGACGTTTTTAAAAGGTATGTGTCAGCGTGCTAAGTGTTCGAAATGATTTTATCCCTTTTATTTATTCCATGATACACGTTATTAATTTCTTTAAGTGGCAAAGAATTCAAAGAGAGATTTGATAACTTTTGAAGAGATAGATGTCATCCAATGTTGTCAAAATGTTGATCAGAGTTAAAAAAAAAAAAAAAAAAAAAAGTAAAGCGTAAAACTTGAATAATACCATAAATAAAAGAATGAAATTATTTAAAGCTGTCGGCATGTTGGCGCCTCCCTTTTGCCTTGAACGGTCACACTCAGTCGCGTATTCACAATTTTTTAAACAAAATGATCGGGTTCAAATCAAAGATCACAAATGATAGAATAATAGAAATTATATTTATTGAAAGGTAAAAGGATAACATTTTAGGATCTACAACAACTATCTCAAACATAAACCAATAATGTCAAGAGGATCGCTGGAATAAATGTTCCTGATTTACGCCATTCACTTGAAGGCACTGTTGAATGCATAGTTGTTGATAATGCATGTATACTCCTCCTGTGTGTTCGCTTGAATCTTCTCAGTGATGGCCGACTTTAATGCAGCACTAGTGTGAGGGTTGCCCTGGTAGATGTGGTCCAGAGGAAGAAATCTAGCGGGGTTCAGGTTGGGCGAGTGAGGTGTCCATTCCACTTCAGCTCTGCGGCTGAAGAGACATTCCCAAAACTTTTCACGGAGCCATGCCATGGTAACATTAGCTGTGTGTAGAGGAACACCAACCTGCTTGATCCACTGTCTATCCTCATCAAGGTCCTCACGCTCCTTGAGCTCTCCCCGTCTGAGAGGACGCTGCTTTGTTTCAACAATTCTGAAACACCATGTACGCCATTTTGACGAATGAGTCTTCTGTTGAACCCAGAATTGTACAAATGTGTTCATCACTGATTGAATTCAATCAAAACAAACTTGCCATCATCGGTTAGAAAATAAAAATCATATAGAAAACTTCTATGTTATTAAAAAAAAGAACGAAAAAAAAAACACACACACATAAAAATACTACATATTGATTGATATAGTAATAAATAAATGCTCACTTATCTTGAGCTAGTCTGAGTTTTCCAGAGGTACTACCCACTCGTCAGTTAGTAAAAATGAATTTCTTTGCGGAAATTTCAATTTCAACATTTCTGTAAATCAATTCAGTTTTACTATCAAGCCCCCTGACGAGGGGGGGGGGCATTATCTACGCGAAACACAGGGGGTGGGGTGAGGGAGTGAACAGATAAAGCTTTATATCGTGATAATGGGCAGATTAATTACCAAAACTACTTATACTCAAAGCGCTATCTCCCAGAAATACACTGGTTGACCGTTTTGGCGAAAAATTATATATATATATATATATATATATATATATATATATATATAATATTTCTATTATAATATTTTACATCACTAAACAAAAAATTTCCACGTTTCGGAGCTTTAAAATTGTCACGCATCAGGCGATGTTAGATAACTTTCATCATAAGTTATATAACATCGCCTAATGAGGGACAATTTTCAAGTTCTAAAACATGGACATTTTTGTGTAGCGATGTAAATTATTATGAAATCTTATAATATTTTGCTTTACGTCGTACTGAGTACTTTTTTTAAAAAGTAAATGCTAAGAACTGTTTATTCTTAATCTGTTCGCTCTCTTTATATATATATATATATATATATATATATATATATATATATATAAAGTAGCTATTATTTGTCCGCATGCTCACTAGGATAGAATATAGCAGAGGGCAGCGTTTAAAGTGCGAGTCTCGCGCATAACAGACTAACGACAAAATTTCTTAATCTCCTTCGGCCTTTTTCCCTTTGAGGGCATCTAATCCACCAGGGATTAAGCCGTATAGGAGGCACTGTCTAAGGCTGGAGATTCCCTTACCCTGGAGCTAAGCATATTATATTGAATTTTAACCTCGAAATAGAATATGAATCACCATTTGAATATGATTAGTTTTTTTTTATTTTTTTATTTTCTTAAATATTTCTTGCCATGTTTTATAAGTGCGTATTATACGCCTGTGCGCGTTATATGGCGGGAAATACGATAATTTTTGTTTTTTTAATTTGTTGTTGTTGATGTTGTTGTTGTTCCAGTTTGTTTACCTGTTTAAATTATTGTTGTACTTGGCAGAAGATGAAGAAGAAGAAAAAGATGAAAAAAAAAATTCGGCTG